TATGATTGAACAAATCTTGATTCCAAGAAAAAATTAGGAGAACCCAAGGGTCTGCTGCGAAAATCGGACAGGGAGATATCCACATATTCATGAAAATATGATACAAATTTATTAGCATGTACTCGTTGAGAGGAGATTCTCCAAAACAAACCTTACCTAATCTTGGAAAAGACAAAGCACGTGGATTCCGAATTGCTCACTCCGCTCGCGTGGCGTTGAAAAAACGCCGTTTAAAAGGATTTATAGTCGATGAAATAGTGCCAATGTAGCGAAAAAGTACCATTCGGCGGTACTCGGACAAAAATCCTCGACGTGGCCATTTTTTAATACTGAACGTTTGGAGCAGTTCTAGCAAATATTTGATAGAGCAAATCTTTAGTTTATGATGACGTAATTAACTTCCAGATTGGATGAGTTTGAACGGAGTTATGGCTTTGGAAAGCGTAAAAACTCGCACTCATCACGAATTTTCCTCGTTAATTTTGCAAAAATCCTCAACGTGGCCATTTTTGAAATACTGGACGTGCGAAGCTGCGCTAGTCGACTGTTGATAGAGACGAATCTTTTTTGTAATGACGTATTAAGTTCGGCAGATTGCGAAAAACTGAGTTTAAGGCTCTGAAGTGTAAAAAGTCACGCCCGTCGGGAATTTTCTTTGTTAATCAACCCATACTTGTTAGTTATTATTATTTTTATAATTTCAATAACGATTGAAAAAATCTCCTTCACTAACTTGCCATTTTCAGATTTGAAAACTTTAAAATTTGAAGAAAGTTATAATTCATTTGAATATTTGTTCAAATTTCAATAGTAAATAAGCTGCTCCACGGTCAACGCCAAAGTCCAGTCAACACACAGCTGGCGAAGGCTTTTACAAGGCTTCTTTCAACGAAAGGGGGACGTGTAAATTGAGAACCATAATCTGTGTAGTAATGAACAAGTGGCGCGCTCACCACGCGAGCGGTCCGGGGATCAAATCCTGGGTCGTGAGTCGCCCGGGCCAACCAAGCCTTCCATCCCTCCGGGGTCGGTTAATTGGTACCAGACTTGTCTGGGAGGATAAAAACACTGACTTGTACATCGGCTGGCCCCCGCAAGTCATTGTATAGGCCACATCGCATTCAAACGCCACTACGAATGTACAAATGCGTGCCGCATCCCAAAAAGGGATTGATCAACGGCAAATGCTTTATCCTTTATCTAATGGTAAGCCTTTCAAAGGAAGTAAAGGAAGGAGCGATGCTGCCATAGTCTGGTTTTTGATGACTACTTCGTCATTTTTGCTCCATTTATCGGTAGATCTCATTAATAATGACATTTCTTTGATTTTTCCTACTTTTTCTACTTTTGTACTCTTTGCGGGTGGAAGCAGGCTGTCGTGATAAGCAGTCTTCGAGGAGGATGAGCAATGCGCTTTCATAGTATTGCACTTGTGAGTGAGCGTTTACATGGGCTTCGGCCGTAGGGTGAAGGGGGGGTCGCATTCCAAAACTTTCCTCAAGGCCTCGCTTGAACCTGGTCTCTTACACAACCCTGGGGGGCCTGCCTGTCTTTCCACTGGATAAGTTCCCCTATCTTCGGCCTTATCGTAGATACTCCTTTGACGCTTGGGTCAACGCCAAATGAGAAAACTTCATATGGAAGGAGCTTGTCTTGAAGCCGAGCGTGTTCTAACAGTCAACTTTGAAACAATTCGAGATGAAGTGAAGGGAAGACCTAATTGCTGAATGAGCAGCCACCAAGAGCATCAAGCTTCGCGAGTCATCATCAACCACTGCGCTTCTTTCTTTACCTTCAAGTTCATCCATAATATTTGTGACTATCTACCCATTCTTATGTTGAGCCATGGCTGTCATTTTTCCTCATCATTTTTCCTCAACTGGCGGTCCACTTCGCACTTAGAATTGCATTATCGAGCGCATTTGCCTCAAAAACTTGATCCTGTGGCGGGCCTTTAAAATCTACCTGAATCATAATGCAAATAAATTTTCGCAGCATACATTAGTTTAGAGTTGAACGAGGCTTTCGACTCAATCTCTTTCCTTCAGAGTCAAAAGAGAACTTAGAAAGAACGAATGGTGGAAAGATGCTTGTTGGAAGATACCGTCACCGTTAGCGAAAACGCTAAAAATATCTAACAAAAACGTGCTTGAATGGTTGTTCCGGTAGCGTAGTCACCATCCTTCAAGAATGCTTCCCATTTGCTTGGCAGTCGGTCGATTCCACGGGTGAAGAAGTCACGATTCCTTGGAGGACTCATTAAAGTGGTAGTCTGTAGGAGCTTCGATCGGTTAATAGACGTTTT